ACTTCTTTAATCTTTCTTTTTAAGCTATGTGAACATATTTATAATGTTACTTTGAAAACTTTTTCTGTTAAATCTCTCATCCGGTCATTCTTACCGGAAGTTTCTGTTGCCTACTTTTGTTTTTTTGGTGTCTGGGTCATATTTTCCTGTTTCTTTGCACACCCTATATTTTTTGTTGGAAACTGGACATTTAAAATAATATATTGTAGCAACTCTGGATACTGGACTGCTCCTCTCTGGGGCTTGTTGCTGCTGCTGCTTGCTTGTTCATTTGTTTAGTGATTTGGCTGGAGTATTTTAGTGAAGTCTGTTTCCGTCACAGTATGAAGCATCTGATGTCACTCCTCAGAGGGTGCAGAGTTGGGCATGGACACAGTCACCCTGGGATGAGAGTGGGTTTGGAAGGTCTTTGTCTCTTTCCCTGATCTCTTTGTTAATCTGTCTGCCTCTGTTGGTATAATATTCAGCTGCTAAACTCCACTAGCTGCTAGCTGATTGCTCTAGTGTTGTTGACAATGCCTCGGGGCATAAATTGTTCCACAGTCTAATCCAGCTAAATTTGGTTCCCTTTGCATGGGTACTTTTTGAGGCCAGTCTTTGAGGTTTGTTTTAACTCCAGGAGGACTCTTCTTAGTTGTCTATTTCCCTGATTCTCTCTGGTAAACTAACTGGTCTATGGTTTAGCATGTTGCTCACATGGAGCTATCAGCCTCATCTTAATTTCTTACCACCAAAATCTCCACTGTTTTCAGGAGCACCCTTAGGCTTGAACTCATCACACTCTGTTCTAAATAAAGTCAGATCCTTTGGAGACAGCTTCAGAGCTTTCTGTCCTTAGAGCTTGCCTCTCTTCATGGGCAAAATCAATGAGCCATTGATCTGAGCTGGGGGGTGGGGACAGTGGCCTACTTCTCTAGATGTCACCATCCCTACTTTACAAACAGGGAGCAGCTTACCTCTAAGAGTCATTTATCCTCTCATGGAACCTTTGCTGTACAAGCAAGCTGGGGTGGTGGTGGTGGAGTGGAGGGATGGTGGGGTGAGCCTGCCATGCTTGAGGTACAGCCTCTTATCTGCCAGTGGCCGCTTGGTGGAAAAAGGGAGTTCCCACTTCTGTTACACTTGCCTGGAATTTAACCTCTACAATCACAGAGTTTAGGGGATTAGAAATGCTGGCAGCCTGCCTCTCCCAGGGAGATACCCTACCATGATAACTTAATTGGGAACTGAGTGGAAAGGGAGCCTCTTGACTGGGAGCTGAGGGAGAGGAAGCCCTGCCTTCTTGACCACACCCACCCAGAGTGGAGCCTCTGTCACACTGAGCTGGATCACGGTGTGGGGGCAGGAGGGAACAAGGTATTGCTCAAGTGCTACAGACTCTAGCTGTTCTTATCGATATTTAGTAGATTTTCTTGAATAAATGTTTCTTCATTTGCAGTATAGCCTTAGGACAATTTCCAGAGACTTTAAATGGTTCGGGTTTTTTTGTGTTTTTTTTTTTTTTTCCCACCAGTTGTGATTGTTTCACTGGTAAACAAACAGGTCCACAAAGCTGTTCATATCGCCTTTCCAGTAGTGGATCCTCTATACTACACTTTCACCTGATATATCATAAGAAATTCCTGGGTCTTTTAAAACCCTACTGACCCACTGGGTCATAAAACTGCATAGAATTCCCTCACTTGAAAAAAACCATAATTTATGTAATCAATAAACTCCTCACTGTGGTGACTAAGGGCACAATAAACACCCTGTGTGAACATGACAACCATTTCCTCGGTCTAGAGCCTATTTAAAAGCAGGATTTGATGCCTGTTTGAAAGCAGACTGCATACAGGCATGTCGGGGAAGAAAGGTCATGCATCCCTCACAGGCTGCTCCCTGCCAGCCTAGCCTCCAAGTGGACAAGGTTATTAGCTGCCACCAGTGATCTCAGCTGCAGGACTACAAGGAGCACCTGCAGGACAGAAACAGTGGCTCCTCTAGCACCATCTCCCCAGGCCTTGCGTGGTGCCTGGTACAGAAGAGAAGCTTGCAGAAAGATTCTAGAATGAGTGGGGAAGAGTAAGGCACACAGAGGCCTCGTGTGAGAAGCTGACTCTGAATTAAATAATGTGCATCTGGAGAGAGCTTCACCCCAAATCCACCCCCGCCCCCTCCCCCAAAATCTGGCCTCAGCCCACATTTCTTATCTCTTGCCACTTCCCCACATACCCTCCTGTACCCCAGGCTCTACCACCCCCATATCCCTTGGTCCTCCATATCATATGCTAATAATGCTCTCCTCCTAGAATGGAAAACTCCTACTCACTTTTAAAGACCCAACCTAAAAACCCCCTCCTCTGTGAGCCTTCCTGAAAGCCCCCAGGCCTCTCAGTCTGCCCCTCTCTGTGCACTCTACACTTGGGGTAAGCATACCCATCTCCCCAGCAAGTGGGGAGACACTGGGGGGCTGGTACTGTACTGCAGATTAAGCCGCATGGCTCTAGCAGAGAGGGGGGAGGGGAGAGAGGCTGAGGGCCTGTGGCTCCCATGCAGACTTCAGGCACAAGCAGCTCTGGCAAGACAACATCTCCCCACCCTACCCTGGCCTCAGCCAGGGACCTCTGCTCCCAACCCTCCTGCTCCAACAGGTGGGTCTAATGATGCCCCTAGGGCGCCTCCCTCCCCTCCAGGAAGTCCTAGCTGTGGACTCTGATCCTCCTTGGCTCAGTCCTGATGGATCTGTGCTCCTGGCTGTGACCCCTCCATGAAGAGTCAGCTGTTCAGCCCCCTCCAGCGCCTTCATGGCTTGTCCTCTAGCACTGTCCTGGAAGGACCCCTGTCCCCACCCCTAACATCCTTTCTGGTGACCTCACACACTACATGGCTTCAGGCACTCCCAAATATGACCCCCAGTTTTCTCTCCAGGGCCCCAGACCCAAACACCAACCCAACGTTGTGACCACACAGACTGCAGGTCCACTGTGTGTCCAGCTCCAGGCTAGGCAAGAGACAAGGAGCCCACCCTTAGGGGGAGGCCCAGCTTGTCCCTGAGCCCTAACACACACACAGATGCTCTGGCCTCTGCTTCCCCTCCCACACCACCTGAGGTGACCAGTGGCCTCTCAACCTTCCTCCCCTCTGCTTAGGGACTGACCTTAGCTCTGGCCACAAGAGTGGCCACCAGACCTGATGTGAACACCGGGGAGATGAAGGGGATGGAGGCAAGTTGTCTGACCACAGCCCTGCCGCAAAGGTCCCAGAGCTGCCATGGCCTGGCTGCTGGCTCCCTTGGACTCTGTAAGCCACCCCAGCACCCCTTCCCATGAAGAGAACCAGGGCTTTGGTCCCAGTCCTAGTTCCAGTCCTCATAAATATTCCTCCTTTCTGCCCCCTCACCCTGAGTCCAGCCCCTTCCAGCTTTCCTCCCCAACCCACTCCCCACCTCCCACCTCCAGGACACACTCTGGTGCTGTGTGTTTCTAACTGCCTGTGGATGCGTGTGATGAAGCCCTTGGCCAGGGTGTTGAGCCAGTAGCAACCCACGAGGTTGGTCTCCACCTCGGTGCGGGTGGTGAAGATCTCATAGTACCTGTAGGCGGAGTGGGCGTGAGCGGTAGCTCCCCAACTGAGGGTCTATCTGAGCAAAGACAAGGCCCGAGGAAGATGGAAGTGGCTGGAATCTGTCCTGGTCTGGCCACCCCCTCACAGTGTGGCCTTGGGAGGGTCCTGACACCTGGGATTCCCTGTCCCCCAGCTCTACCCGTCAAAGTCCTATTCCCTGAAAGGACCACCTGGTGCCACTTTCCGCTTGGTGTCTGCAAGGGTGTCCAGGAGAGAGGTCTCTGGTTTCTGTGCCCCACCCAGAGCAGGGCCCAGGTGTGCAGGGTGGCTGGCAGAGTACAGGCTCTGTCTACGTGGATGTTGGTCTCCAGAGTGCTTCCATAAACCCCCCTTCAGAACCAGCAGTCCTTCCACTCATAATCTCCTGTTCTTTTCTGGAGACCAGAGGGCTTGACAATGACATCAGGGCCCGGAGATGAAGCTCTCCCACTCCCGCTGCGCTGGGGCCTCCAGGACCAGCTCCATTTTGTCAGCGACTGGCCAGGGTCCCCCTCCATCAGGGGCCTCGTGGAGGAAGCAGAAGGAGCTGGATCTAGACCACAGCCACCCTCCATCCTCAAAGCCCCACGGGGTGCCTCCTCCCCAGCCCACATTCTCCTGTTGTAAAACTTCGAGTCCCCCTGTGCCCTGACAAACTGTGACTCTGGGACCTATAAAATGGGGGTGGGGGGCTTGTCAGTCCCAGGAGACCTACCATCTCTGTAAAAAGCTGAAAATAAAACAGGAAACCCAAGCAATAAGGATTCATCTTTAATCAGAGGGAGCACAGATGACACAGGCAGAGCCCAGGCCCCTAGAGCACAAACACGAGGAGGTTGGCATGGGAAAGTCTCGGACACAAGTGCTGGGGAGGCCCACCCAGCAAGCATGCAGGTATCCCAGGAGGGGCTCTCACATCTCAGCCCCCAGCCGTCCAAGAACCAGGTCAAAACCAGGAGGCAGATGTATAGGCCACACATCGCTCCTGCGTAGACTCCACCCCCTGGTTCCTTGTCTCCTCTAACTGGTGTCAGCTGTGTGATGTGATTCTCGGGGCCTCCTCACCAGGAGAGGTCAGGAATTCCATGCCAAGTAACAATGTTCACAGGCTTTGAACTGCTCTCTTCTTGTGGCCAGGAACACTCTCCACCTGGGCCACCGCAGGTGGGTATGGGCGGGCCAGGCCTGGGGCCAGAGATGGGCCTGGGGCAGGAGATGGGCCTGGGGCTGGAGATGGGGCTGGGGGTGAAGATGGGGGTGAAGATGGCTCAGGGCTGGGGCTGGGGCTGAAGATGGGGATGAAGACAGCTCAGGGCTGGGGCTGGAGATGGGGCTGGGGCTGAAGATGGGGGTGAAGGTGGCTCAGGGCTCGGGCTGGAGATGAGGCTGGGCCTGAAGACGAGATTGGAGCTTCAACTAGGAATGAGGCCGGAGAGGTCCCAGGGCAGGGGTTGGAGTTAGAGCTGGGTGTAGACCCCGCCTGGAGGGGCTCAGAGGGCAGCAGCAGCAGTTGCTGTGCTCAGACACAAGCTCCAGCCTGGATCATGTTTTCTTCCACTGACTAGAAAAAGAGAGTGAAGAGCTTGGGGGCAAAGCCCGTGTTCCAGCCAGGCCACAAGCTCTGGGCTGTGAGGGTATCACCCATAACCGGTAGAGTATGCCCAAGTGCAGATCCCAGCCTGTGGCCAGAGGGCCAGCACCTGGCCCAGGGACTTTCTTACAGTTTGCAGGACCTGGAGAATGGCACACTCACCTCATCTTGTCGTTGTGCTTGCCACACCACACCACCAAGCCAGCCATGGCCACCGTCAGCAGGATGGGCACAGTGATGAGTGGAATGAGAATCTCATCCGGGGGGTCTTCCCAGTGCACCCTGTCCACGGTGCAGTTGGAAAAGAACTGCTTGTGGATGCGGGTGATGAAGCTCTCGGCCAGGGGGTTGGGCCAGTAGCAACCCACGAGGTTGGTCTCCACCTCAGTGCAGGTGGTGAAGATCTCATAGTACCTGCAGGCAGAGTGGGCATGAGGGGCAGCTCCCCCACTGAGGGTCTACCTGAGCAAGGACGGAGGCCAGAGGAAGATGGGAGTGGCTGGAATCTATCCTGGTCTGGCCACTCACTCGAAATGTGGCCTTGGGAGGGTCCCCTCCACTCTTGGGACCTCATGTGAAGAGGTAGCACAGGACAAGCAGGACTGGAATTGCCCTTGCGGCAGCCATCCCATGACGCCTGCAGGGCCATCCATGCCATTGGAGTCATCCTCTAGTCTCCCCCCAGGGAGCTCTCTGGGCATGGCCCTGCCCGATTGGCTTTCCTACCCCACATCTCTGCCCATAATCCTGCCTCCCCTAGCCTTTTTACAACTATATTCTAAACCAAACCCATTGCCATCAAGATGATTCTGACTCATAGTGACCCTGTAGGATAGAGTAGAACTGCCCCATAGGGTTTCCAAGGCTGTAATCTTTACCGAAGCAGACTGGTTGGTTTAAACCGCCGACCTTTTGGTTAGCAGACAAGCAATTAACCACTGTGTCACCAGGGCTCCTTAACCATATTCTACTAAGCCTCAAATGATTCCTTGTTCCCAGAACCTGAGCTCCCATGGGCCCCTTGCCCAACCTGCATGCCCCCACCATGTCTGGGTTATTTATGCCTGGGACTCACCCCCAGAGTCCCTCCACATCACCCAGGTCAGCCCAGCAGATACACCAGGCCAAGCTTCTCAGAGGGACCCAGGCTTCTGCTAAACATAATGTACCTGAGCTGGCTGCCACCTTCCAGGATGCTCTGGAGATGGGCACCTGCTGAGCCATCATCCAGCTCAGTCCAAGGCCAGCACTGCCCAGATGCCTGGCCAAGACTGGCCACAGGACAGATGTGGGGGCAGGGGAGCAATAGGCTACCCCTTCTCTCCTGGACTGAGGGACTGGCCCTGTGATCCCTCCTCCTTCCTGGGCTATGGCTGTCCTGGGGAAGGAGCCCCTGTGCTGACCCATAAACAGGAAGGAGCCACCTCCCTTCAAGGAGCTTCTTGGGCAGAATATCTCTGTCTGGCTTTTTCCCACAAGTATTAGAAAGGACGAGGAAATGGGGAGTGGCAGAACCCCCCGGCTCAGTGCCCTCCTAATGCTAATCCCTCCCTTCGAAGGGCCCAGGTAGACTCAGGCCAAGACTCCAACCAGACTCCTGACAGAGTCCATACTTGCTCTCAGACTCACATCTCTGCTCTTCCATGTAACTCCATCAAGGAAGAGCCAACTCGAGGCAGAAAAGAGACAGACAAAGACAATGGTCTTGAACCTATATCCACAGCAGTAGCATCTCCTGGGCCTAAGGCATGGTCCAGCACCTGTGGATGTCTCCCAGGCTCCTGGGGGCACAGCACCTCAACACCACATGTCCACAGACAGACCCATCATCTCCAAACCTGCTCTTCCTACAGGGCCATGACTCAGGGAACCCAGAGTGATGTCACTGCCCACCCCACCCCAGCCCCTGACAGGGGAACCCTGGAGCCTCTAGCACACAACTCTTCCTGGCTATGCAAAGGTCTTTGGCTTTTGAAAGTCTTCAGCATCTGCTTGCAGCCATGACCCTTGAGTAACTCCCATACTGCCTGCAAAGCCTTCTCAGGGTACTGTTATCTCAGGAATGCACCTGGTGACGATCAGCCCCGGTCTCAGGCGAGGCCAAGATCACCAGAGTTGACTCCCAAGTTTGGAGCAGAAAGACCCTGGGGAACAGTGGGCAACACCCCCCTCCAGTCAGAGCTGGGGCCTCGCAGGGAAACAACAGGGCAGGGATTATCCCAGGAGACAGTATGGAAAAGTGGTTCAGGGTTTAGGTTTAGAGCCAATGTGACTGGATTCCTCCAATCCCAGCTTGGTCAGTGACCATCTTTGTGACTTTGGGCATTGTACTTAACGTTTCTGGGCCTCAGTTGCTTCATCTGTAAATGGGGTTAATTATGTTCACCTAATCAGATGGTTGACAGGACGAGGGGAGGTTGTGTCTGTGTGCAACTAGCAGGGCCTAGAACAGAGCAAGTGCTCAGGGGTCGCAGGGTGACATCCCCCGCCAGCTGCTGTGTGCCGGGCAGTGCTGAGCACAAGCTCTGGGGATCGACTCACTGGGCCACGTGTGAACTACTCACAGCTGGCTCCTCTCAGCAAAGCTGGGAACAGGCTAGACCAGGCTACATATACAATAACAAATACTTTTCTGAGTAAAGACACCAGAAAGGCAGGCAACTGGGTCTATGGCAGAAAGCTGCAGAGGGCCAGAGCTGAAAGGAGTCTCAGGTGTGCTTGTCAGGAAGCTCTCCTACACGCGGGCCTTCTGCGGTACACCGGGTGGGGGTGGGGGGATATTAAAGGGCCTGACAGTCACAAAAAGCTCATCATCCAGTAGTAGGAAAATCATCTATCCCATCTCCTACTCTCCTTCCATCTTAAAGAGGAAAGAGGCCCAGCAAGGACAGTCCTGAGGCCACTGGGCTCATAGTCAGCACACCGAGGCTTCCTAGACACCCCGGCAGCAGCAGAGCCAGAGGATGAAATTTATGCACAAGTTTTAACACATGACCTCTAACCCCTGTTAACTCACCAACCTCTTTTCAGGCGGGAATACAAAATCTAGGTGTTATTAATAAGGACAACTATTTGCACATTATCTTTTCTCAAGGGCCCCTGGGTAGCCCAGGCCCCGTGGCCTCCCACTTCAGTCTGGTTCCGAGAGCCACCCTCCCTCCAGGTGTCAGCGCACAGCTTAGAGAACATGCACCCACGACCCTGCTCAGAAGAGATGAGCATCAGCATCACCCATATCACAACTCCCTCTCCCCAGCCAGGTAACACTGGCTGACTTCTGTATGATGTCTGTACCTGTGTTCCTAAGCAATATGTCTCTTCTAGAAGCCTCAGTTGCACCCACCACCTTAACTGGCTAAGGAAGGAGCCAGAGTGCTGCTGTTGGGTGGAGGCTCTCAGGAGAGGACATGCTTTGGTTGCCCCAGTGAGTGACAAGAGCCCCTCTGCAAAGTCACAGCCAGGCCATGAAGGAATTTAAGCAATGGGCTCATCCCATCACCTGGTACGGCTATCATGTGATCTGCTAGGACACTGCCCTGCCCTGCCCCAACTCCATGATCAGTTGCATTGTGATCCATAGAGTTTTCATCAGCTGAATTTCAGAAGTAGAGCACCAGGCCTTTCTTCCTAGTCTATCTTAGTCTGGAATCTCCACTGCAACCTGTTCAGCATCATACTAACAGGTAAGCCTCCACTGACAGACAAGTGGTAGCTGCGCATGAGGTGCAATGAATCAAACCCAGGTCTCTGAAACGGAAGGCAATGAACCACCAATGCCCCCATGATCTTTTATCTAGCACCTGCTTTTTGTCTCCCTGGACACAGGTAGCAGTTTTCTTTGTTTCCGGGTCCTCTTGCTGGGCTAGGTGAATCCACCCAGTCTGCAGACGCTTACCCTCGGCTCTGCGAAAGCTCCCTGAATTACTCCACTTACGATGACCTCTCCACTTTCCCTGATCTCCCTCTTTCTAGAACTCCCACTGCTTATTAGGTATCAGGCCTCCCAGTCCATCCTTCTAACTGTGTTGTCTTCTCCTTCCACTTCTTTGTCTTTATGCTCTACTTTCTAAGGGATTTCCTCAATGTTTCTCTTCCAACTCTTTCATTCAGTCTTTTTATTTCTGTTTTTAATTTTCAAGGGCTCTTTCTTTGTCTCTGAGTGCTTCCTTTTCATAACATCCTGTTCTTGTTTCAGGGTGTGGTATTTCGTCTCTCTGAAAGTATTAGCTATGGATTTTGGAAGCTGTCTTCTTGCCTCCAACAGTCTCCAGTTGCCTGGCTCTGCTGTCTTGTCTCTATTGTCTGTGTAAAAGGCCTTTGCCAGATATCCAGCAGCCCCAGGAGTGAAGATTGCTGAGTCTGCTGGACTTCCTGGGGGCTCTGCCAGCCTCCAGGGGAGCCCACAACAAACTGTCTCTGGGCCTTTCCCTGCAGTCTGCCCTTGCTCAGGTGGGCAGCAAGGATTCCTCAGAAGAGATTGCTCCGGCCCTGCCCTAGGGACAGCAGTCATCCACCAGCATCCTGTGGCCCAATCTCCTATGAGGGCACACTGTCCATGCCCTCAGTTCTACAAGGAGGCCCAGAGACCTCTGTTTCACCAGCTCCAAAGAACAGCCACTCGTCTGGCCTGGTGACAGAGGGGCTCTGAGGCCAGTGCCCCATGGAGGAGAGAGGATTTAGAGATTTGTTTGCTGTCACTGGCCCATTCTTCAGAGACCTCCACGTTCCCCACTGCTGCTGAGGGTCTAGCTCTGTTGGTCTGCTAGGTGCCCCAGCTTTCCCACTCCCGAACCACCCCCCACCCTATCCCCACTGTCTCCTCTTCTGTCCTCCCTGGCCTAGGGCTGGCCATCTCTTTTTAAATCTCCTTACTGTGGTTTTAGTGTGTTACAGAAAGGAGCAGAACGGGATGCCATGGCCAGTACTCTGTGGTGACCAGAAACTCTGCCTTCATTTTCCTGTGTGTCCACCCCCAGGCCTGGGGCCAGGCTGCCTGCCCCAGAAGGCCTCCCATGGCCCACCAAGGGCAGGAAGGAGCCTGGTCCAGCTCACTCTTGTGTCCCCTGCACCACAACATGGCTGACTCAGAAACCTAGTCTGTTTGGTCAGCAGCCAGTCCCCCCGGCACTGACCATGTACAACCCTCAGGGCAACTGTATATGAAACACAACACAGAAACCACATGGACAGCCATCGGGGACAGGAAGCCAGGACTAGGGTGCAGAAGAGAAAGGGCTCTAGCCACCTTAGCAGACTCAGGGTCTAGGAGGCTTCTTGGAGCAAAGGACCCCAGGCAGCGTTGTAACTGATGAGCAGAGTGACCAAGCCAAACTGGGGGAGTCCCAGGCAGTGGGCCAGTGTGGAAAGGCCATGATTCAGGTGTGCAGCAAGGCAAGGGCAGGCCTAGCCCATCGGGGATTCCCAAGGAAGCAACAGCCTCAGTGCTGATTGTGATCACAAGGAGATAAAAAGCTTGGGGCTCTCTGAGAAACTGGCAACTCCTCGGTAAGCTGTTGTCCCACTACACCAAGGAGAGACTGGTGGAATTCAACTTCTCCAATATTTCTTGGCCACCAACTGCAGTTCCCTCCAGCATGGCACATTGAAGACAGGCACAGGGAGAACAGCCAGTGCAACTCCCATTCCTAAAGGGAAGTAAGGGTTAGGGAGGGCACCCACATCAGAGGCTTCAGGTGAGGAGCTGCCTGGCATTCTGCTTGGCATTGCTAGAATGTACTGGGTGGGGGAGAGGCTGGGCATTGGGGAGGGGCACCACAAGGCCCTCCTGGACGGGGCACTCACACGATGAACTCTGACAGGTTGCACCATTTCCAGACATCCACCTGCTGCATCATCTCTGCAAAGGCCTTCCCGCAGCGGGGCAGTTTCTCCAGCATGCGCGTCTCATTGCAGCCGTCCACTTGGGGACACACACCTACACAGAGAGGGCAGCATGAGAATTCCATTGAGGCCCACCAGGCCAGTCTGCAAGTTGGTTGGAGCCTAAGATACCACCACCTGGGAACTACTACAAGAGCAGTTCCTCAAGGGCGGCCTGAGGGGTAGGCTGGAGTCTTCCTCTCTCAGCCCTAACTAGTTTTAGACCAGAGAGAGGTTGGAGTCACAGCAGAAAGGAGGATATGGCCTACGGGCATATCCCATAAAGACGAGAAGGGGAAAGTCTGCCTCTGCAGGCCCAATGGAGCATGGGAAGAAGAGTAGGGGGGAAGGGAGGAGAGGAAGGGAGAAAGAGCAGAGGGAGGGAGAGAAAGAGGAGGAAGGGAGAAAGAGAAGAGGGAGGGGGAAGGGGGTAGAGGGAGAAAGTGCAGTGGGGGATGAAGGCAGGGAGGAAGAGGGAGAAAGGGGGGGAAGAGAAGAGGGGGGAGAAAGAGCAGAGGGAGGAGGGAGGGAGAAAGTAAGAGGGAGGGAGAAAGAGCAGAAGGAGGGGAGAAAGGGGAGGAAGGGAGAAAGAGAAAAGAGGGGGAAGGGGGATAGAGGGAGAAAGTGCAGAGGGGGAGGAAGGGAGGGAGGAAGAAGGGAGGACAAAGAACAGAGGAAGGAGGAGAGGGGGGAAAGAGAGAAAGAACAGAGAGAGGAGGGAGGGAGAAAGAACAGAGGGAGTTGGAGGGAGGGAGAAAGAGCAGAGGGAGGGAGGGAAGGGTGAGTGAGGGACGAGGGAGGCCTAGGCCAAAGTCCTCAAGAGGTGGGGAAGGCCAAGGCAGAGGCTCCAGGTGGGAAGAGGGTCCCATTTGTGACTGTCCAAACTTAGAAGTCCTAAATCTAGCCTAACAGCACTTAGAGGGGCCTTAGGGGCTCATCTAGACCCACCCTCGTCCTGCTGAGTGGAGTAAGGGCAAGGAGGACCCCAAGTTCCCAGTACCCCTGGGAAGCCTGTGTGGGCATCTTCCTTCATTATTGTTGTTATGGATTTAATTTTATCACCCAAAATACGTATTGTAAATCCTAAACCCCTGTTCCTGTGGATGTAATCCTATTGGGAATAGGACTTTCTTTGTTATGTTAGTGAGACCACATCAGTGTAGAATATGTCTTAAGCCAGTCACCTTTGAGATATAAAAGCAGCATATTAGGCACAAACGTAGGGGAAGATACAGGCCACATAAAGATTGGCAAGGAACCGAAGAACAGAAGTTGAAAAAAGACAAGAGAGCTGACAGAGAGAAAAAGCCTTCCCCTAGAGCCAGCACCCTGAATTTGGACTTCTAGCCTCCTAAACTGTGAGAAAATTAATTTGTTTGTTAAAGCCATCCACTTGTGCGTGTGTGTTGTTGTTGTTCTTATAGCAGCACTAAGAAACTAAGACAGTAATTACAGTGAATGTAAATGGACTAAATGCCCTAATCAAAAGACAGAGAGTAGCAGATGGATAAAAAAGCATGATATGCTGTGTACAAAAGACACATCTTAGGCCCAAGGACACAAATAGGTTGAAAGTGAATGGATAGGAAAAAATATTCCATGCAAACAGTAATCAAAAGAGAGATAGCGTGGCTATTTTAATACCAGGCACAAAGATGAAGGGGGAGAGGGGGATTATTGCTTAGGGAACACTCATCTTCTGTTAAGGATTATGGAAAATTTTGGAAATGGATAGTGGTGATGATTACAAAACATGATGAATGTGATTAATGTCACTGAATTGTACCTTTAAAAATTGTTGTAATGGCTATTTTTTTTGTTACATACATACTCATCACAATAAAAAAATGCATATTAAAGAATAATCTTGTGAAAATATCAAAAATAAAATGAATTTCTTTTTAAATGTTGAAATGGCAGATATTTTGTTACATATATACGAGGCATTAGTGGTTCAGTGGTAGAATTCTCACCTTTCATACAGCAGAACTGGGTTTGATTCCTGGCCAATGCACCTCATGCATAGCCACTAGCTATCTGTCAGTGAAAGACTGCATGTTGCTATGATGCTGAACAGGTTTCAGTGAAGCTTCCAGACTAAGATGGAGTAGGAAGAAATGTCTACTTCCAAATAGCAGCCAATGAAAACCCTGTAGATCACAATGGTCCAATCCACAACCAATCATATAGATGGTGCAGGACCAGGCAGCATTTCATTCCATTGTGCATGGGGTCGCCATGAGTTGGAGACCAACTCAATGGTAGCTAAGAAAAACACACCATGTTGTAAAACTATAATGTTCAACAAAAAAAAAAAAAAAAATCACAAGGCACACAAAGAAACTGGAAATAATGGCCTATTCAAGATAAAGGGAGAGAAATTGTATTTATGGAAACCCAAATAATGAACAGATTGGAAGAATATAATACAACAATATTAAACAATATCAAAGAACTAAGGGAAAAACACAAAATTAAAGAAAATGAGGAAAATGATGCATAAACAAAATGAGTATCCAAAAAAAGATATAAACACTATAGAAAGAAATCAAATGGAAATACTTGAACTGAAAGATACAACAACTAAAGTTTAAAACTCACTGGAAGGATTTAAAAACATATTTGAGTTGGCAAAAGAAAGAATCAGTGATCTGAAGGATAAGGTAATTGAAATTTTGGAGGCTGAGGCACAACAAAAGAGAAGGTTCAGACTGCTGACTATAGCCTAATGGAAATGTGGGACACCATCAAGCAAACTAACACATGTATCATACGAATCACAGAAGGAGGCAAGAGAGAAAAGGAGACAGAAAGAATATTTGAAGAAATAGTGGCAAAAAACTTTCCAAATCTGATGAAGGACATGAGTCTGCAAATCCAAGAAGCTCAACAAACTCAGAGTAGGATAAACCCAAAGAGATCCACACCAAAATACACTATAATCAGGTTCTCAAAAACTAAGGTAAAGATATAGAGACAAAGGTTTATTAGTGGTTACCAGGGGCAGGAGGAGGGGGGAAAGGCAGATTATTGCTTATAGAGTAGCAAGTTTCAGTTTGCAGTGATGGAAAAATCGCACTGATTAAGGGTAGGGTTGTACAGCCGATTATTGTAAGTGCTGTCAATAAGTTGTATACCTGTAAAAAGTTGAACTGGTAAAAGTTTCATTATTTACAATATCGAGAAAAAAAAAACGGTAGCTGCTGAGGCTGTTTATGTACAACCAAATACCTCATGGGATTTGATTCCTTGGTTTGGAGGTTTAGGGTCATGGTTTCATGGGACATCCCAGTTAACTGGCCTAATAACCTGTTTAGTGCTTCTGTTCTACCTTCTGTTTCATTGCATCTAGTTCATTGTGCCTGGGGTCTTAAAAGCTTGCAAGCGGTCATTTAAGGTACATCAGTTGGTCTCTATTCACCTGGAGCAACAGAGGAAGGACAGTCAGGAATAGGAGGAGGAAATAGAATGTGTGGCTAATTTCCTCCATGAACAACTTCCTCCTTTGCCATGAGACTAGAAGAACTGGATGGTGACCAGCTACTATTACTTAACATTTTGATCAAAGATTCTATAGAAGAATTCTGATCAAAAGGGGGAAAATGCAGAACAGAATTTAAAATTCTAATGGACTTCCAACTTTCTGGAGCCATGGAGGCTAGATGAACCCCTGAAACTATTACGCTGAGATAATCTTTAAGCCTTAAACCAAAAATATCCCTTGAAGTCGTCTTAAAACCAAACAATAGTTTAGCTTAACTAGTAAAACATGTCTTCCTTGAGCATTATGCTCTTTTAAAATCTATCTATATGGGATCAGACTAGCAGGGGTAGGGGTTTGGGAACCATGCTTTCGGGGGACATCTAGGTTAATTGGCATAACAAAGCTTATTAAGAAAATGTTCTGATCCTACTTTGGTGAGTGGCGTCTGGGGTTTTAAAAGCTTGCAAGTGGCCATCTAAGATGCATCAACTAGTCCCAACCACCTGGAGTAAAGGAGAATGAACACAAGGAAAGTATTAGCCCAAGAGACAGAAAGGGCCACATAAACCAGAGACTTCATCAGCCTGAGACCAGAAGAACTAGATGGTGCCCGGCTACCACCAATGACCACCCTGACAGGGAACACAACAGAGAGTCCCTGATGGAGCAGGAGAAAGGTGGGGTGCAGAACTCAAATTCTAGTAAGAAGACCAGACTTAATGGTCTGACTGAGACTGGAGGAAGCCCGGAAAACATGGCCCCTGGATTCTCTATCAGCCCAGAACTAAAACAATTTCCGAGACCAACTCTTCAGACAGGGAATGGACTGGACTGTGGGACAAAAAGTGATACTTGTGAGGAGTGTGCCTCTTAGCTCAGGTAGATACAAGAGACTAAACAGGCAGCTTCTGTCCAGAGGTGAGATGGGAAGGCAGAGAGGGTTAGGAGCTGGTTGAATGGACATGGGGAATCAGGGTGGAAAGGAGGAGTATGCTGTCACAGTATGGGGAGAGCAATTAGAGTCACATAACAATGTATGTATAAATTTTCGTATGGGAAATTTTTTTTTAAAATTAAATAAAGCAATTAGATCCTAAAAAAAATAAATAAATAAGATCTATCTATATGGGATCAAATTGACAACAGCAACTCTAAAAATTTGATAGGAACCTTAGGGAGCAGTGAGTTTATAGTAACGTGGAAGGAATAGTTCAGAAAAGGAGGTGAAAATGGTTGCACAACTTGAAGAATGTAATCAGTGTCGATGAAATGTACATGTAGAAACTGTTAAATTGGTGTATCTTTTGCTGTGTATATTATCAACATCAACAGCAAAATAAATAAAATTTAATAAAATAAGGTAAAGAGAGAATCTTCAAAGCAGCAAGAGAGAAGTGAATGGTCATGTACAAATAATCCCCAATAAGATTAAGCACTAATTTCTCCTCAGAAACCTGAGTAGAAATCGATGGAGTGACATATTTAAAATGCTGAAAGAAAAGAACCATCATACAAGAATACTATATCCAACAAAACTGTCCTTCAAGTATGAGGGTGAAATTAAGACACTC